AAGAAGCCCTGGCTGTAACTGCTTAAAAAGTGTTAGCTGAGTTTGGTTTCCATTTTTAATGTAATAAAATCTGCTAGTGCATCGAACCAGGCTGACAGTGCTGCTGTCCAAAAGGTGTCTCCTGTGCTCCTTCATCCAGAGTGGGGACACACAAATACAGGAGGTGTGTTACTGGCCAGATTACCGGGTGAAAACAAAGGGGAACACCTGAAAAAAGAAAACTAATGTAGCCACCACATCTAATGAATGGTAATGGGCAATATACTACATTTTTGGTTTTCAATGGATTGCCCAGCAAGGCTATTCTGTATTCCTGAATCCTGACCCTTCAATAGCCAAACTGTCTCTGTTTCCAATGGAAAAAAGTAAACATTACAAAATACCTAAATTAAAACACAGTAAGTAAATGTAATGGAATGGTCACTGTTTTAAACTCATTGCTGCCTTTTACAGAAAAATGAAAGTGGAAGTTGAGATCTGAATGAATGAAATTTGTGGCATGCATGTGCCGGGGGAGTAGGACCTCACAGGAGAGGCAATGTGGTGCCCAGCAAGCTGCACAGAGAAGGTCATGTAAGTATGTGGCTCACCAGCAATGCTGGGACAGGGCAATGTGGATCACGAAGATCAAAGTAGTTGTAAACCCTTACATATACACACTGACCAGGATTTTTCTCAGAGAATAGAACTCCCCACTTCTGAGTCACTCCTTGTCTCCACCCCTGAGCATCGTCCCTTGGTTTCACCCCCTACCCACCTCCGAGGACCAATCCTTTTTTTGAGAATACTGAGCGAAGTGTCATTTTGTGGTGTTTGTTAATGATAGAATTTGTTAATGAAAACAAGAAAAGCAGTAAAATAGTTCCCCATGCAGCCAGCAACAATAGACCCCCCCTTCCCCCGCAATAACTGACCGCCATAACAAAATACCACCCCAGGAACAATAGACCCCAGCAGAAACAACAGATCTCCAAGCACCCAGCATTGATAGACTCTACAGCAGCCAGCAACAATAAACCCCTGTCAGCAGTAGATCTCTTCCAGAAATATTGACCCCCCAAGAAACAATGGATCCTACACCAGCAACAATAGATCTGTTGACAATAGATCCCCAGCATCAACAGACCTTCCAGCACACTCTAGCAGCCCTTGTGATTACAAACATTCAGTGCTGGAGGTGGCAAAACTGTGTTCCCACCGGAAAAAATCCCTGCACACTGACTAGCTTCAGGTGATACACAGAGATGAAACAAATTCTCCTTCATACGTTGTACCTGTTTATCTTTAGCCCTCTCTTCCACAGCTTTTCAAAGCTCAGAATTTACAAAGCATTTCTGAGCTCTGGGAGACTGGGGGCAGAGATCTGATGCTGCACCCTGCACAGTTTAGTATAATCTGAGACCTGAATGGAATGGAAGGAAAGGACCCCCCCCCCCCCCCCCACACACACACACACACACACACACAGTCTCATAGGGAAACATGCATAGATGAGCTCATCAATCAACTTCTGTGTGCTGGAAGGGGGTAGGGCTTGGTTTCAGGATAAATGAACAAAAGTGACTCCTGCATATAACAGAGGGAGGGGAAAACAGCTAGAGATCACACTCAGTGTTTTGGATTGAGGCTAGTACACACTATAGAGCAATATGCTTTGTTCTGTTTCATTTCAGAGGTTTACAACCACTTTAAGTACACTGAAACCATGTAGACAATAGTAAGAAATTGAATACATTTCTACATAAAGCATGAGGCCTCCTTTAAAAATAATTTAAAACGTGTTTTGCCAAACAAAAAGCAAACACTGTGGGGATGTTTTTGTGTGAGGGTCTATTGTTGCTGGTGGGGATAATTGCTGATGGGGCGGTCGTATGTTGCTGTTAGGGAACTACTGTTGAGGGAAAGGTTGCTGGCTGCTGGAGGGTCTATTGATGCTGGCTGTTGGGAGATCTGTTGCTGCTGGGGGAGGGTCCAATGTTGCTGGGGTAGATCTTTTGTAGCTAGGGGTGGTATTTTGTTGTGGGTGGTCCAGTGTTGCTGTGTGAGGGGTCTATTGTTGCTGTGTGAATGGTCTATTGTTGCTGTGGTGGGGTCTATTGTTGCTGCAGGGAATCTATTGTTGTTGGGGTAAATCTTTTATTGCTAGGGGTGGTATTTTGTTGTGGGTGGTCCAGTGTTGCTGTGTGAGGGGTCTATTATTGCTGTGGTGGGGTATATTGTTGCTGTGGTGGGGTCTATTGTTGCTGCAGGGAATCTGTTGTTACTGTGGTGGGGTCTCTTTTTGCTGAGGGGAACTATTGTTGCTGGGGTGAGGTCCACTGTTGCTGGGGGAGTGTATTATTGTGTGGGGGATTTATTTAGAGTTGCTGGGGTGAGGTATATTGTTGCTGGGGGGGTACTATTGTTGCTGGCAGCAGGGGATCTATTTTACTGCTTTTCTTATTATCAATAACAAATTCCATTCAAATTATTTAGCACCACAAAATGATACTTAGTTCCCCAAAAGGGGCAGTACTGGGAAGTGGGAAGGGGGCAGAACCAAGGGAAGGTGCTCAGAGGAGGTTAGGAGGCGTAGACAAAGTGGGGAGTTCCTGCACCTGTTCTCTGAGAAAAAAATACCTGTCAGGGCTCCGGGGTGTGACCAGAGGTATGTGACTGACGCAGGGAAATGCAGGCTTCAGATATGTTATAAATATAATTTATTAACACTAACAATACATAAACGCAGTGCAATACTGTTGGATTTTTAAACACATATAATACTTCTTCTAGTGTCTTGAGGCGATTATGAATGAAAGAGCCATTGAAATAAAAAATGAACTGTGATTTTATTCTATCACACAATGGTGTAAAAAACCAATGTAAAGCGTATTATGAACAGTTCCATGTAGATAAAACTACTGTAAAAATGACAAGCGAAAGTTCAAAACAAAGAGTCACCATTATCTGTCATGGCTGTCCTTGCCATGTGCGATACTCCATGTCCTTGTCCGTCTCAATGACTTTGTGAAGAAGGAAAAGCCGGATGTGACTATATTGTAGCCGGAAGTGATCTCAGTATGCACCTGTTGCAGCTTCTCAGACGTGTGTATGCAAGAGTCATGTAGCGCGTAAGTGTGTGTGTGAGTGAGTGTCTCCTATGTCCGTTGTCTCATGGACTTTTAAGAGGCAAATGTACGTCATAGTTAGTGATCTTAATACCTTCTATGAAAATTATTACTTCTTAGCAAAGCCATTTCATATAAGGAAGGGATGCTATACATATGATGTTTGATGGACAGGAACATATGAATGCTGATGTAAATAATATTATAAGCTAATGACGTAAAGAATAATATAGCTTAAGAACATATCAATGTATAATCACTAAACTATATATGTATCATTGTTAGAGACGTATACTAAATACACACAGATTATTATTAAAATACATAACTTTTAACCAACTATATCTAAATATAGTTTACAACTATCAGTTGGTATATACTATCTCAGCTTAACTTGTATATCTTTTGGTCTCAGCTATAATTAAGAATAGTTAAATACTACCATTTTGTCAAAGACCACTTACACTTATTAATATTAATTATGACTAATCAAATCATAAAAAAACCAAATATTTTGCAAGCTTGCCATCAATATAAAATGCCGAATCATAAATAGATTTAAACAAATACTAAAACATACACAGTGCAAAACGAACCAAACCAAACCACCCACAGATATCAGTACATACAATGCAAGCGGTCGTCAGGCAGGCCGGGATTATCAACAGGAGGTCAGAATGTATGGGGTTAAGCAGGACAATGGTCAGTCAAAGCCAGGGAATCAGGAGCAGGAGAATGGTCAGACAAAGCCAGGGATCAGGAGCAGGAGAATGGTCAGACAAAGCCAGGGATCAGAGTAAGCAGGGTTGTCCAACGAATCAACAGGAACAGGAACAGGGAGCAGGAACAGGATACAGGGCCCAGGAGAAACAGACACCAAGGCAGAGTCTGCAGGTCTGCCCATCCCTTAAATACACCAGTATAAGCAGTTTCAGGTGTTTAGCTGGCTGCAAGGTTGAGTCTCTGATTGCTGGGAGCACCCGCTGGCCAGCCCTTGGTACTGCAGCTCATAAGGCAGGGTGAGTCCCACCATTGCTGGCCAGTCCCATTCCTGACAGTAACCCCCCCTCAAGGTAGCAGCCCTCAGGACGCTCCAAACAGTCCTAGCTGGGGGCAAAATGTTTCACCGCCCGGGTACTGGTAACTGGCGGGTGGGGGGATATCAAAGACTGCTCACACCCGGGCAGGACTCCGGGCAGCGGCACACCGGGCAGCGGAACTCCGGGCATTGGCCCATCGGCTGCAGCTGCACACCGGGCAGAGGCACATCGGGCAGGACTACACCTGTGCAGCCGGCTACCGGGCAGCGGCACATCGGGGTCAGGACTCCGGGCAGCGGCACACATCGGATCACCAGGGAATAGGCATCGCAGGCAAGCGGCAGCCCCCAGGCGGAGCAGCAGGCACCAGGCCCCCAGGCGGAGCAGCAGGGCACCGGGACCCCAGGCGGGGCGACAGGGCATCGGGCCCCCAGGCGGGGTGACAAGGCATCGGGCCCCCAGGCGGGGCGACAGGCATCGGGCCCCCAGACGGGCGACAAGCATCGGGCCCCCATAGACGGGCGACAGGCATCGGGGCCCCCCCGGCGGAGCGGGGGCGCCGGACCCCCATGTGGAGCGACAGGTCGGGCCCCCAGGCGGAGCGGCGGGTTGCCGGACCCCCAGGTGGGGAGCGACAGGTCTCGGTACCCCCAGGGCGGAGCGACAGGGTGTCGGGCCCCCAGGCGAGCCGCGGGCGCCGGACCCCCTGGCGGACAGGTCAGCGACAGGTCTCGTGGGACCCCAGGCGGCCCCCAGGCTGGCGCGACAGTTCTCGGGTCCCCCCCATGGCGGAGTGGCGGGCACCTGGACCCCCAGGCGGAGAGACAGGTCCTCAGGGCCCCCCAGGCGGAGCGGCGGGCGCCGGGACCCCTAGGCGGTAGCGACAGGTCTCGGGCCCCCAGGCGGAGCGGCGGGCGCCGGACTCTCCCAGGCGAAGCGACAGGTCTCGGGCCCCCAGGTGGAGCGGCGGGGGCGCCGTACCCCTAGGCGAAGCGACAGGTCTCGGGCCCCCAGGCGGAGCGGCGGGCGCCTGGACCCCCAGGCGGAGCGACAGGCACCGAGTCACCAGGCATGACAGTGGGCTCCGAGTCAACTGGCATGACCGCTGGCACTCGGGTCAGACATTGGATCGTCTGGCTGGACAGCGGGCATCGGGTCTCACCAGGCATCAGGTCATTTGGCTCGACAAGCTGGGCACCGCGTTCATCTGGCAAGGCAGTGGGCTCCGAGTCAACTCGTATGACCGCGGGCACTGGGTCAGACATTGGATCGTCTCGGCTGGACAGCGGGCATGGGTCACCAGGCATCAGGTCATTTGGGCTCAACAGCGAGGCACCGTGTCATCTGGCAAGACAGGGGCACCAAGGTCACCAGGCACGACCGTGGGCTCTGAGTCAATTGGCACGACAGCAGGCACCGAGTCATCAGGTACCGGATTGTCTGGCTCGACAGCAGGCATCGGGTCACCAGGTATGACAGCGGGCACTGGGTCACCAGGCATCAATGTCATTTGGCTCGCCAGCGGGCACACCGCGTCATCTGGCAAGGCAGGTGGGCACCGAGTCACCAGGTACGACAAGCGGGCTCTGAGTCAATTGGCACGACAGCGGGCACCGGATCAGGTACCGGATCATCTGGATCAACAAGCGGGCATCGAGTGTCAACTGGCCTGAATAGGATCATCAGGCTGGATCAGTTTCATTGCATGCTGGTTAGAGGCATCAGGCTGAGTGGAAAGGCATCAGGCTGAGTAGAGGCATCAGGCTGAGTAGAGGCATCAGGTCTGAATCTGAGTAGAGGCATCAGGCTGAGTAGAGGCATCAGGCTAAGTAGAGGCATCAGGCTGAATAGAGGCATCAGGCTGAATAGAGGCATCAGGCTGAATAAGAGGCATCAGGCTGGGTACAGGCATCAGGCTGGGTACAGGCATCAGGCTGAGTAGAGCATCAGGACTGAGTAGAGGCATCAGGCTGAGTAGAGGCATCAGGCAGAATATCAGGCATCAGGCTGAATACAGGCATCAGGCTGGGTACAGGCATCAGGCTGAATACAGGCATCAGGCTGGGTACAGGCAGTCCAGCTGGGTACAGGCATCAGGCTGAAGTGTGGTGCCGATGCACAGGCTGAACCACGGAAGGCAGGTTCTCAGCACGGCAGGCTCACTGGTCTGGATACTGGCAGGATGTATTGGTTGGAAAAGAATTTTCGCTTTTTTCTGGTTTTAAACTACTGGAGCACTGCAAGTAAACGCAGGTCTGAAAACGAATGGAGCAGGCTGGAGACAGAGAAGAGCTGGGAGGATGGAACAGGGGGGGGGAAACAGTTGCTACAGAGGGCTTCTTTACAGGGTTAAAGGCACTAGGATAGGTGCAGCGAGTGGGAACAGGGTACTGACATGGCGGGTAGATAGCAGGGCAGGAGGAGCTGTTGGGATATGCAGGAATAGAGCTTTGAGGAAATAGATTAGAAGCAGGACTGGGTGGTTTTCGTAAGCTGACTGAGGCTGGGTGCAACAAATCTGTCCATGTCTGCAGTATTGGGTTGAACAAAGCTGAGCTTACACAAAGCCTGTCGACCAAAGACTGCACTGCGTTTTATACAATCTCCCTTAGTACCTGTGGTGAACATGTGGAATAACGCTCCAGAAAGTAATCCACCATCATTCTCTAATAACGCATACAGGGACTCTACCTGGTCGGCACTTAAATGGTGGCAAAAATTCATCCCTGCATTCGGGCTTTTGGTATCCAGATGAAACCAACTCCGCACAAACCTGAATCAATGGCTTGCACCTCAGAGAAACTCTGTGCCCTGATCTTACTAGAACATGAGCAGAGAGCCGTATACATTCTAGAGTTTCAATCCCGGGTTTATACTCCTTCAGAGTTTGATAAGCATACTCCCTGTCATCAATCACCAGCAGATATAAATACTCAAACCTCATCAAGATCCATCCTTCCCATCAACAAACCAAGATGGCTTCCCTGTGCAGCCACTTCTGGTTCAGGATTGGCCGTTGGTGTAATGTCAGGGCTCGGGGGGGTGACCAGAGGTATGTGACTGACGCAGGGAAACGCAGGCTTCAGATATGTTTATAAATATAATTTATTAACACTAACAATACATAAATTGCAGTGGCAATACATAAAACATAGACATTACGTGCTAACGAACCAAACCAAACCACCCACAGATAACAGTACATACAATGCAAGCGTCGTTCTGCAGGCCGGGATTATCAACAGGAGGTCCAGAACGTATGGGGTTAAGCAGGAGAATGGTCAGACAAAGCCAGGGATCAGGAGCAGGGAATGGTCAGACAAAGCACCAAGGGATCAGGAGCAGAGGAGGGTATTGGGGGTCATGACAAAGCCAGGGATCAGAGCAGGGTCAGCAACGACCCAGACAGGACAGGAACAGTGAAACAGGTCAGAGCAGGAACAGGAACAGGGCCCAGGAGGGAAACAACACTCACCAAGGCAGAGTCTGCAGGTTCTGGCCATCCCTTAAATACCCAGTATAAGCAGTTTCAGGTGTTTAGCTGGCTGCAAGGTTGAGTCTCTGATTGCTGGGTGCACCCCGCTGGCCAGCCCCTGGTACTGCAGCTCATAAGGCAGGGGTGAGTCCCACCATTGCTGGCCAGTCCCCATTCCTGACAATACCTGTGTAAAAACCCAAGAAATATCCACTAACCAAAACAAATTGCAAATAAATACAAAGTAAAAACAAATAAATAAAGAGACAAAACTGTTTGCCATTAAGCACTGATGTGCATTCCCACACCTAACTGTAAAAAATATCCGTACAAAAGTGCAGAGCAACAAAAATAAAATGAAAAAATATATTCATATCCATGCCTAAATACCAGTACATATAGGTGATTTGTTTTTATTATATGAACACACATTTTTATTTTATGTTTGTTGCGCTGCACTTTTGCATGGGGTATTTATCTATTTTGTAGACTTCATAGTTACATATTTACATAGTTAGTTCCTGGCTGAAAAAAGACAAAAGTCCACCCAGTTCAACCAAAAAAAAAAAAGTTTATAATCCTACAACACCCACAATTGATCCAGAGGAAGGCAAAAAAAACCCCAGCAAAAGCATAATCCTCCAGCAAAGAGAAAAAAAAATTCCTTCCTGATCCCCTGAGAGGCAATTGGATAATTCCCTGGATCAACTTTACATATAAACATTAGTATCCAGTTATATTTCCTGTGTATCCAAGGAAGAATCCAGGACTTTTTTTTTTTAAAGCAATCCACGGAGCTGGCCCAGAACCAACTCTTGAGGGAGTCTATTCCACATTTTTCACAGCTCTTACTGTGAAGAAACCTTTTTCCGAATATTTGGAGATTAAAATCTCTTCCTCCAAACATAAAGAGTGCCCCCTTGTCCTCTGTGATGACCATCAAGGTGAAAAAACTCTACACCGAGTGTTTCACTTATATGAACCACTGAATGTATTTATAACATGGAGATCATGTCCCCCTTATGTATTATACATGGAGATCATATCCCCCCTTATCTATTATACATGGAGAGCATGAATCCCCCCTTATCTGTATTATACATGGAGATCATATATTCCCCCTTATGTATTTTAACATGGAGATCATATCCCCCCCCCTTAATTATTATACATGGAGATCATATCCCCCTTATGTTATTATACATGGAGATCATATCCCCCCTTATGTATTAAACATGGTGATCATATCCCCTTTTATGTATATTATACATGGAGATCATATCCCCCCTTATGTATTATACATGGTGATCATATCCCCCCTTATATAGTATTATAGATGGAGATCATATCCCCCCTTATGTTTTTTACATGGTGATCATATCCCCCCTTATGAATTATACATGGAGATCATAACCCCCCTTATGTTCTTATCACATCTTATGTAATTATACATGGAGATCATATCCCCCTCTTATGTATTTTACATGGAGATCATCCATATCCCCCCTTATGTATTATACATGGAGATCATATCCCCCTTATGTATTATACATGGAGATCATATCCCCCATTATGTATACATGGGGAGATTATACAGGTGATCATATCCCCCCTTATGTATTATACATGGAGATCATATCCCCCCTTATGTATTATACAAGGTGATTCAATATCACCCCCTTTTGTATTATACAAGGTGATAATTATGGTGATCATATCCCCCCTAATGTATTATACATGGAGATCATATCCCCCCTTATGTATTATACATGGAGATCATATCCCCCCCCTTATGTATTATACATGGAGATCATATCCCCCCTTATGTATTATACATGGAGATTATACTAGGATGTATATTACTCATGGTGATCATATCCCCCCTTATGTATTATACATGGTGATCATATCCCCCCTTAATCTCCTCCTCTCAAGAGAGAATAAATTCAGTTCCTCTAATCTTTCCTCATAGCTGTGCTCCTCCATGCCTCTGATCAGTTTGGTTGCCCTTCTCTGTACTTTCTCCAGTTCCCCAATGTTCTTTTTCTGAAATTGGTGCCAAAAACTGAACTGCATATTCCAGATGAGGTCTTACTAATAAATTGTACCGGGGTAGAATGATATCTCTCTCTCTCTGGAGTCTATACCTTTTTTAATACAAGAGATGTTCAAGTTCTAATTTTTAATACAAGTTTTAATTTCAAATACTGAACTGCTGGACTAATAAACCTGGTTGACACCTTTCAATACAACATATTACACCAATTTATTTTTAGTAAGCAGCTAAAGCCCAACTCCAACCAAAACTGTTTTCAGCATTTTGAATAGACATGGGAGTAGTAGATTCTTGTATCAAATAGGTTTGTCATTTCGGCATTTGTTTCGTATATATTCATTGGTCCAGGTGGATTCTAAACATTTTGCAGTTTTTTTGGAAGATTGCTATTAGAATGATATCTCTCTCTCTCTCTGGAGTCTATACATCTTTTAATACAAGAGAAGATTTTGCTCGCTTTAGAACCCGCAGCTTGGCATTGCATGCCATTATTAAGCTTGTGATCTACCAGAACTCCCAGATCCTTCTCCACCATTGGTCCACTTCGTAGACCAAAGTTCTACATTACCATGTACTCCAGTAAAGCCAGCCGCACTCATAGCTGTATAGACATGCCCATCATACAGTATAGGTTACATGAAGGCTTCCAGATGGAGCTGTGTGATTATCTAAGTCTAGATCTGTTTGAAACTGTTAAGTGATTAGTGGGTTAAAAGTGATAAAAAACATGAAGCAATGTCATCAACTTTCATGGCTCACCATGATGAAAAGTCGACTTGCCCCAAGTCTCTCTGTGGCTTTTAAATAAATGGAAAACCAAACAAGATTGACTACTTACAACAAACCACCCAGATCACACATATTAAACTGGCTATTTTTACTTTTTCACTCTTGCTGAAAGTCTTGTCAGGTTGTTTAATGGTTGTTGAGATCTGGGGGGTTTCTCTGGAAGCAGAAGTGTATTGGAAATAAAGCGTCCTGTGTAGTCCTTGGTACAATAGAGCTTGGATAAGCTCCAAGAAATGAAAGGGAATGTTAAATGAACCTAGATGGGGAAAGAAGACAGGAACGCTCTGAAACTGCTGGGTTTACCAGTATAAATATATGTAAGCTATAAAACTAATTGGACTATTACCAC